GGGAGAGAGGGAACGTCAGGAGGAGCCATCCTGGCCTCAAGGGTCCCTACAAGCTGCTGCTTCTAAGCATCACAAAGCTGTCCTGGAGTCAGAAGAGCTGCTCCCAGCCTCCCCAGACAGCATTATCCAACTCCATCCCTTCCCAGAGGCGCGGGCATCCCAGACTCAACCTGGCTGGAGTGCTGCTCTCCCTGACAGCCGAGGAAAAAGCTGCACAGCCAGTTGGGAGCAGGGTCCCAGGCAAGGTTGCTGCCCCCAGCAGGGTTTGGCCAAACCCACTCCAGACTCCTACCATGGCCGTGCCACAGCAAGCTGGGCTGTGCCACCAACCCCAGGCTGGGCTCACGCAGAGCCAGGAGAGACCGGACATGGGGTGGGCAGAAAACAGGTCCTGTCGCTGCCAGGTGCCAGCCAAGGACACAATAGCAGGCACTCAGCCAGTGCCATGGCACACAAAGTCTGCTGTTGCCACGGCCAGCAGACCTCGCTAACAGGGAGGTTTCCTCCAGAGCACAACATGAGGATGGTACTTGGGCAGAGACGCTGGAATGGGAATTCTGCATCCCTGGGATGGACACCACATCCCAAAGAAACGGGATCTGATATCAAGGTCCCCAAAGCAGGTCCAAGCCCGAATTTCATGGTATGCCAAGGGGACCCTCATGGTGACGCCACCGCGGGGGAAGTGGCATGACTGGTTTGCAGTGGGAAATGACTTTCAGGGTCAGCAAGCCGGCACAGTGGCGTCCACACAGCTGCCACAGAGGGAGAGAGCAAGAGGGAACGGCTCAGCTTCACAGGGCTTTGAAAACCCATCCCAGTGACTGCCCCTAACACAGGCTAGGCCACTGTGACCGCCAGACAGAGGAGGAGGAGGACAAAGCGCCATTGATGAGCACAGACATGTCCCCAAACACCCTCCAGCCCGGAAGACTGCCAGCTGCTGCTGCTGACCCCAGGGAAACCCCCAGCACGAGCCTCCCCCACACATGACCCATGAGAGGGGAGGTGGTGCTGGGACAAGCCCAGTTGCCAGCAGCCCAGGACACTGGGGTACCAAGCCCTGCTCTTGCTGGGGGCTGATTTGTCACCTCCCACGAGGAGGTGGCCAAGCCATGCCCCCATCCTAGTGGGAAATGGGTCTTCTGGGGCCTGCAAGGGAGACAAGGACCATCCCTGGTGGGGGACAATGGCCACCTCCACCCCATCACACACAGCTCTCATCCCTGCCAGGCTCCTCAAGGGCCGTCCCACTGCCCTGACTGATGATGCCAGTGACACAGAAGGATACAGCCCCAGTGGCTCCATCCTTATTGGGAAGTCCCCTGTGCCTGCAAGCAGAGTTGGCCCCAGGCCCTAGTGGCCCCTCCACCTCATCTCCCTGGGGGTACCCTCCCACTGTGTCCTCACAACATCTCAGGTCCTCCCGTATTGCTGGTCCAGCACAGGAAAATGCTGTCGTCTCCTTCTATTCTTGCCCAGCAATAATATTTTCCCAGCTCAGAATAACATCGGCAAAGTGGTCGGGCTCCTTTTATTGTTTCAGGCGAGGCTTCCCCTTCTCCCCCAGACCTGGTGAATTCCTCCTGCGCCTCGGGTTACACCAGTCCAGGGCGCCTTCCTCTTCCCCCCCCTCCCCCGGCTTCATCTCTCCAGGGAGCAGTCCCCTGCCATGGCCCATCCATCCCTGGGACCCCTTTACTCCAGTGGGGGGGCCCCTGGGGAGGGACACCAAGAGAGCACTGGGCTGTGCTGCAATGCTCCTGGTCCACATAGCAGCAAAACGCTCTTTCCCCTCTTACATGAGCCACTGCTGAAATTTGAAACAAAAGGAGGAGAGTGGCTTGAAGTGTGAGGAAGAGCTGGGGGCATGGCCACCCCTGCACCCACAGCACAAAGCCTGTCCCTGTCACCCCACAAATGCCACCCCGCACCCAGAGCCGCTGGCCAGGCAGAGCCCAGACCGAGGAGCTGTGCACAAACAGCACCAGCTCGCCTCCTTCATTTCAGAGGCTCTAACGGCTTTAATTGAAATTTTCATTTTCTTTTTTTTCCCCCCGGGGGAGAAGGCGGTGGCAGAATTTGTTTCATGGGAAATTTCAGTTTCTGTTTCCAATTTGGAAGACGAATGGAATAATCAGCTTAAGAAAGGGGAAAAAAAAAAAAAAAAAAAAAAAAAAAAAAAAAAAAAAAAAAAAAGCAAGCTTCCAAAGGTGGCTCCTCCCCGTGAGAAGCTGAGGAGCGCCCCCCGCCCGGGCCCTGGGGAACCCCTCACACCTGGGGAATGGCCTGGCACGGCCGGACTTTGTGCTGGAGTGGATCAGACACAGAGCCAGACTCTGAGCCCCACGACCCAGCCCTGCCGTGACCCCAGACCTCCTTGCCCTGCTGCCAAGCCCAGTTTGAGGACGCCGGATCCCATCACAGGAGAGAGCCGTGAGCCGTCCTGGCTGCATGCTGGCTCCCAGGGTAAGGGCCACTGAGTGCCTCAATTTCCCGTTCCACAGGGAGGCAGCCCCTGATCGCCTGCTGTGCCCCAGGACAGAGCCAACCTTGGGAACCCCCAGCCCAGGCAACACAGGAGCAGACTTTTCCCTGGCAGAGGGAGGTGCTCTGCACCTCCCGTGGCTCTCCAAGCTCTGGACTGCTCATGACTTCCCTCTCGCTGAGAACGGGGAAGATATGCCTTATGTAATGTATTTTATGTTAATTTTTTTACGAGCAGGTTCATTGCTTTGAGGCCAAAAGGAGATTAGGGCGCCCCAGGCTCTGTCAAGTTTGGCTGGAGCAGCCCGTGCATTAGGCTGGCAGAGTGGGGGATGCGGCGAGCCAGAGCAGGATCACAGGGAGAGTTTTAATTAAAACTAAGCACTGCCCCCGCAGCCCCCCGAGGGGCTCCGGCACCCCGACACCCGCACCCCAGCACGGCGGGGCTCGGAGGGCGCGCCCCATGGACCCCCCGCCCAGCCGAGGATGCTGATCACGCACCCCCGGAGTGCCGGGGACTACCCAGGCCGGGGGACTACCCACGCACCGCAGCACCCCCCCAGCACACACGGCAGAGCGTGCCGGGGCCGGGACAGCGCCGTGCCTCAATTTCCCCGCACTCGACGTGGGAGACGATCCCTCCTGGGAAGCAGTGTGGCTGGCGCGGATCCCGGCTGCACATCCCCTCTCCCCATCACTCGGCTCCCCACTTCCTCCCGCTTCTCTCCGGGGCCCCCCCACGTCCCGCGTGGGGGACGGAGGGGCGCCGGGAAGCCACCCACGGAAACCCCAGCCTAACCCGAGCCCCAGCGCAAGGTGCCCACCAAACCTCCCCCCCGAAAAACCCTGCACTCCAGGCGCAGCACGCGCAGCTCCCCAAGCCCCCGCGCAGCTCCCGCAGAGAGGACCCCGAGGACACCCCTCGGTGGGCAGCCCCCCGGCCCGCAGCAGGTGCCCCCGGCCCAGCTCACCGCGGTAGGACAGGCGGAGACGGGGCAGGCTGTGCCCCGCCGCCCCGAGCCAGCACAGCGACAGCGACACCGCCAAGGCCACCGCCGTCCGCATCCCGCCGCCGCGCCCGGGGCCGCCGGTGGCACCGAGGTTTTATGGGACCGACATCCGACCGCCCCCGGCCCGCCCCGGCCCGCCCCAGCCCGGCCCCGCCATCCCTCATCCCCTGGGGCGGCGGGGATGCGCGGGGGGACGGCCCCATCCCCGGGGGGACCCCGAGAACTCTGCACATCCCCAAACTGTCCCCCTGTCACCAGCGCTTTAGGCTTTACCACAGCCCCCTCCCGCAGCTCACCCTGCCAGCCCCGCCAGCTCATCCCTGAGGATGGGGAGCAAGGGAGGGAAGCTAGGATCACCCAGTCTTGCCCTCCTCTTACTGAGAGGGCACAAAGACCTGCCCCCCGAGAAGGACGCTGAGCATGGGGTGATCTCCAAGCACCAGCAAGCACCCAGCTCTCAGGTCCCATCTCTCCCAGCCAAGCAAGCTGGTTACAGCAGGATGGCTGGGGAAAGGGGCTGAGCAGGATCGAGGGGGATGCACAGGGTGCCACAGGTAGCCCTGGTGCACCCACAAGGCAAGGCATGCATTGTTGTCTCCCAGCAAAGGTGCCAGCACCCTGAACGGGGATCCTGGCCAGCAAGGGCCCCATAGTACCCACCCCATTCCCATGCCATCCTCCCCCAGGACTGCAGGGTCAGGGGATGTCGTCATATGAGACATCAGAGAATTCACACTGGCTTCCCACGGGAGACTCAGTGCACAGGCAGGTATGTCCCTCACGCAAAAGCCTTGGATTTCCCCCTGTGCTGGATGGAGGGGAAGGAGCCAAGGAGCTGGTGGCTTCTCCCTCATTGCTCCATCACCACCAGCCTCATCCCTTCTCCCAGCCCAGCACCAAGCAGCCTCATTATCCCCAGCCCCCAAGGGTTCCAGCACCATTTTAATTAAAACACAGGTCAGAAGGCTGGGGGGCCCTGGCTCATCCCCAACCTTTCGTAATGCAGCAGCTCTGCAAGTCCCCCAAGCACCATAAAACCATCCCAATTTGCTCAGTGAGCCCTCAGTTTCCCCAAGGAACAGCATGGCTGGGACAGATCCCACACCCCTGGGTGCTGGGGAGCTGCATGGGGCTGGGAATGAGCAAGGAGGAGATGCAGCCAGTGGCAGCTCTGGCAGATAAGCAGAGGTGCCTGCCCAGACCCGCATGCTGCCTGCCCGGATCCGAGGGCTTAGGGGAGCAGCACTGTGGCAGGAGCTGAGGGAGGGAGGGAGGGAAGGAGCGGGATGAAGCCCAGCACTGGTCCCCTGAGGCTGATTGGGAGCAGAGGCCCCACAGCCTGCCCAGGCAGGATCCTGCCTGCACTGCTGTCCCCCAGCCCAATGAACCCAGGGGAGCAGGAGCACCCCAGCTGGCCCCACTGAGAAAGGAAATCTGCGGTGCCTGGGTGAGATCCCACAGGCCAGCACCATGGGCAGACAGACAGACCAACCTGCTCCTGGCTGTGCTTACCAAGGAGATTTATTGACTTGCACAGGGAGGACAGGTGGCATTTGGCCCCGGCTCCTCTGGCAAGCAGGCAGGGAGGCAGGACAAGGTGTGGGCAGGCAGAGCAGGCCACTGGCCAGCCCCTTACCACCCAGCCCCTGCAGCCAGAGGTGGAACAAGGACAGCAGGAGGCACTGCCAATACTAGGAAAGGCTGGAGGCACCTGGAAACAAGGCTCTGCTGGCATATGGGCAAGGGAGACTCAACCCCTCGGGTCTCACCAGCAGGCCAGCCCTGAACACAGCCAACATGGCACGATGCCATCTGCATCCCCGGTACACCAGCAGACATTTGCTGTGCCCACCCCTTGCCCTCTTTTCAAAGCCTTGCGTCCTGCTGCTCGGCACCCCCCGTCCTGCCCCTGGCCGGGCGCTCAGCCCTCGGCAGGCAGCGGGGGCACCGAGGCCAGGGCGCTCAGGAGGCGGGCGTAGATCTCGATGCCCCGCAGGAAGACTTGCTCGTTGAGGAACTCGTTGTGGTCATGGAGCAGCACCGGCGTGCGGTTCATGGGCGAGAAGCCGATAGCGGGGTGTCCTGCCTGGAGGTGGGGAGGCACGAGGTGAGGTTGGAGCTGCCCCACTCCTCCACCTGGACAAGGCTCCTGCTTGGGGCTGCAGGGTCTCACCCCGGATGGGGAACCCACGGGCAGGTGGGTACCACACTCACCGCTCGGATGTAGCGGCTGTCGGTGGCAGCCGGGAAGATCTCGAGCTTGAGCTGCAGTTTCCTGACAAGTGAGACCCTGTGTCAGCATGGGCATGAGGGCAGCCAGGTCCCCTGTCCCCCTGACACCCCATGGGCAAAGAGACTGTGACAGGAAGGTTCCACAGCCCTGCGGGACACTCAATCCCATTCCTTTTGAGAAGGAAACACAAGGGAGGTGCTTTGGCATAGCACAGAGCACCCTATCCCAACCGCTGCCATGACCCCAGAGACCCCTGGAGACCACCTGGCTCCCACCAGAGGATGTCCCCACCATGATGATCCTGCTTTTCCTGGGGACACTACTCACATGTCCCTACAGACCCCACTGAAGGCCTTCCACCACGGGTCCGACTCATCAGTGGAGGTTATGTGTTGGTCCATGCATTTCTGATGGAGGGAGAGGACAAGTGAGGTGTAAGCAGATGGGCACTTGGCAGGGGAGGGATGGGTGCCATGTGCCTGGGTGGCTGAGACCCCTCACCTGGTGAAACTCGTAAGTGACACCATCCCCAGCACCACGGCACCACTTGGCCACCTGCTCCTCGAAGGCCTGAGGCAGAGACCAGAGGAGGAGTGTGAGCAGGGTATCCCCAGTCCTGCTCCCCTCCTGGGTGGGGTCGGTGTGGCGCCCACCTTCAGGTCCACAGTGGGTGGGATGCGGATGTCGAAGCTGGCAGCCATCTCCGAGGGCACCACGTTGAAGGAGACACCCCCCTCCAGCATGGTCATGTTGAGCGAGGTGACATCCCCCAGGGTCAGGCTTGAGTCAGTCTTGAGCCTCAGGGGACACAAGGGAGAGTCACCCATTTGGGTGGCAGCCCTGGATCAGAGCCGGGCTTGGGATCCCAGTGGCCCCCTTCATGGACCAAACTGAAGCTACAGCCATACCACAGCCTGTCTCCTACCTCTGCTTCTCGCTCTCCCTGAAGGCCAGGAAGGAGTTGATGACTTTTTGCTGGGGAGAGAAGGGCAGCAGGTGAGGACCAGCCCTGTGGGCAGGTGCCTGGGTAGGCACAGGGCAGGCAAGGGGGTTGCACAGTGTGTACCCCCTCTCTTACCATCTTCTCAGCAGCCGTGTTGCTGATGAAGCGGGACCCATGCCCGGGGCTACCCATGCACTTCACTTTTATCCCTGTAGCAGTGGGGAGAGAGGGAAGTGTCGAGCAGCAAGCCTGGGATAGCACCAGTGCCCCAGCATCCAGCAGAGCCAGGGACAGGGCAGTGGGCACTCAGGTACTCACACCATGGGCTCCTCTCACCATAGAAGACACTGAAGGTGTCAGATGGGCTGGCCAAGCCTGTGGTGGGCACAGACAGGGGGTCAGTGGGGCAGGGGGGTGCCATAATGTGCCCCCCCTGCTCTGCCCTGGCAGCATTTCCCCTCCAGGCTGGCACCATGTGGGTCATTGTCCAGGAGGATTCCCCAAGGGGGTGCCTGGAAGTGTGCTGGGTGCCAGTGCCTGGGGGTAATGCCAGGGTGTGTGCCAGGAGGAGACACATCCCTGTGCCAGCCCTACCACCACTCACCCTCATCCATGGCAAAGCCCACGTTGAGCGCTTTGAACTCGGGACGCTGCACGAACATCTCCATGCCCTTGTGTCCACCCACCTCCTCATCTGCAGGGGAGAGCCTGGCATGGAGGAAGGAACTGGGGCATTCTCCAGCCCACCACCCTCTGGTCCTTCTTCCATGCCAGTCTGGGTGCCATCAGATGTCTTTGGATATGGAAATCTCTCCAGCCTTGAGCTGGAGCTCAAAATATGCACAGCCTGGCAGCTGCCACACCAGAGGGTACTCCAGAGCATCACCCAGCTGCCAGCCCCGTCTGTGTCCCCGAGAAGGGACAGCCTGGGGACTCACCAGGCACAAAGGTGAGGTGGATGGTGCGAGCAAAAGACTTTCCCTCTGCCTTTAGCCTCCGGATGGCCTCAAGGTACCTGCAGGGGGAAAGTAGTGTCTGGTCATCATGGAGGAGAGGGGCTCGTGTGCTCCGAGCCACCTGAGGGTGGGTCAAGAGGTGGCACCCTCAGCCCCAGTGACCCTGGGGATGGCTGCATCCTGTCCTGCACCACTCAGAGGCACCATCAGCACCGTGCCCCCCAGGCAGGCACAGAGCCCTCCACTCACTGGATGGAGACACACTTCATGTCCTGGGCACCCCGGGCATAGATGTTGCCTTGCGAGTCCTTAACAGCCTCGAAGGGTGGGTAAGTCCAGTGCTCCTGTGGGAGAGAGTGGCCACAGTGGTAGAGGGGCACAGCAGGCCCCAGCTCCCATCCTCCTGCCACCCCATCCTCCCCAACATGCCCATCCTATCCCTCTCCCTGTCCCAGTACCTCGAAGACGGGCACGACATCAGTGTGGGAGTTGAGGAGGATGGAGCGCAGGCGGGGGTTCGTGCCCTGCCAGGTCAGGATCAGCACCACACGGCCCTGGCACACCTGTGGAGTGAAGGTAGGGTGTCACCAGGGTCCAGGATGGGAACAGGAATGCTGGGAGTGGTGGACTGGAGCCAAAAAGCATCAGCTTGGGAAAAATTTTGGGATGCCACCTGGCAGGTCACCCATTTCTCTGCTGGGAGAGGGCAGGCAGCAGGAGCACACACACCTGAACTCCCCACAGTCAGACAGAGTCTGGCTGCAGGCGCCAGACCTGGCTACACTTCCAAGGAGGGAAGACAAACCTGGCATCTTCCCCTGGTGCCTGGGAATCCCCTGGGACAGCCAGTGCCCAGCAGGAAGGACAGCCCCAGCCAATGTGACACTGCCAAGTCCCCAGCTAATCATAGCACAGGCAGCTGCAAAGGTCAGCAGGGAGCAGCCGGAATACTGGCTTAAGGAAGGGCTTGGGTCAGCCCAGGATTACAGGCAGAGGGGATTCACTCCTGCCCAGCTCTGGGGTACAGGCAAGAGAACAGCCTGGTCACTAAGGACCCGGGCACAGGTGGATGAATGGATGGATGGATGTACAGTCTGGAAGCAGCTCCTCGCCTTGCTCACCTCCACTTTTTGGCAGGCCAAGCCCAGGTCGGTGCCAATGCGCTCCAGAAACTGGACAGCTGCATCTGGGGAAGAGCAGGGGTGCCTGGAGTTACATTGGGGTCTCCCTCCCCTCTCCCTGCAATCCCCCAGGGACCCCAAAGCTCTCTGGGGTTCCTAGGCCAAGGAAAGTGGTGACCAGCGAGGGCAGGTGATGGAGGCCCTGACCACAAGAGGTGGCCAGGAGCAGGGACAGGAGCAGCTCATCACCATCCCTTTGGGATAAAGACTTGGGGAATAAGAAAAACTAAATTTGAAGTTCATGAGTTCAGGGAGAATGGTCCTCCACTGGAGTTTTGTGAGCTCCTCACCAAGAAAAAAATCTCAGTGTGCTTTAGTGGGACGACACAAATGTTAACAGAAGGAGATCTGCATAGAAGAAGTTCATCCATCCCAGAGCCAGGGCAGCATGAAAAGGGGGAGCAAGGGGCATGGGGCTGGAGGGTGCAAACAGCAGCTCTGGGTGCACTTGGGACATCCCTGCCCCAAGCAGAGGCACGAGCAAAGATAAGACATAAAGGAGTTTGCTCCTTAACACCATGATCAAAACAGTCCCGGCACAAGACTTGGGCACTTGAGTCCAAAGACCGGAGCTACAAAGCGGCATTGCCAGATCCCCACGTGGCTCCCTGTCCTGTTCCCCCATCCTCACCATAGTCAGGTTTGGGGTGGACAGTGTCAATCCTCAGGTACTCCCGGAAAAGCGTAACTGAGGAGTTCTCCGAGGCCCCCGCGCTCTTCCCAGGCTTCCCAGGTGCCATGTCTGGGACTGGGGCTGCAAAGCTCTGGGGGAAGAGTGGCAACATGGTTAATCACCCACCAGCCCCTCCAAAGTCCGCCGGTGAGCTCGGTCGTCACAGAAACTGAAGTGAGAAAGGGCAAAGGTCTGCACCATGTGAGTCCTGGGACTGCCAACGTGGGAGAAATCCCCCCCACTCGGATATCAGGCAGGATGGAGTGTGCCCCCCACACTGTCCTGTCATTCTTCCCCCAAAGCACATCTTCTTGCCCCAAACAGAGTGCCAGGGTAGCCTGGGATGGCCAGGCCAGGGGGGAGATCCAGGAAGGGGCTAGCTGGAAGGAAAAGGGGGCAACTAGGTGGGGAAGGGGCTTATGGGGGGAAGAAGTGTGTGTGGGGCAGGGGCACATGGTAGTTGGGGGTAGCCAGGGATGCTGAGGAGTGCAGGCAGGATGCTGGTGTAAGGAGGTACAGATAAAGAAAGGGGGACACTGGCTGCTTAGGGGGTGCAGGAGAACTGCAAGGAAAGGTGCTGGAGGTGAAGTGAGAGTGGTGAAGGGAGATCTAGTGCTTGCAGAGGACAGAAGAACTAGGGGGCCACATTAGGGCGACAGGCTAGTGGGGGAGCTGTTTCAAAAGTGCTGGGTGGCTGGAGGAGCAGGAGGATATGGGCTGCTTAGGGGCACATGGGGGTACAGTAGCAGGGGTGACAGGGGAACACTGGGGAGGGTATGGGAGCAGGAGGTGCAGAGAGGCTATGAGAGCTGCAGCAAGACCCTGGTTAGGGGTGCAGGTACTGTGACTGGGGGTGCAAAGGGGCACAGGTGAGGTACAGGCTGGGGAGCAGGAAGGGGGCCAGTGGGGTGTGGTGTACTGCAGTTGGGATACAGGGACATCATGATTAGAGTTGTGGGGAGTGCAGGGTCTCGTGGATAGGGATGCAGGGATAGTGTGGTTAAGGGGGCTGGGGGTGAAGCAGAGGGCAGGGTATCATGGTTAGGGGTGCAGGGAGGTGCAGGGTACCACAGTTAGGGGTGCTGCAGCTGCGCTATTGGGATGCAGGGGTAGCACGGGCAAGAAGGCAGAGCGGTGCAGGGGGGTAGCGGAGGGGTGCAAGGGGGGGGCTGCAGGGTACCGTGACGGGGGCTCGAAGGGGGTGAAGGCACCGGGGCACCCACCCGCGGGCTGCCGGGCGCTCCTGCTGCCCGACCCCACTCCTCGGCCTCCCGCCACCCCGGCCCTACCTCCGCGCTGCTGCCGCCGGCGCTGCCCGGCCCCGCTCCGCCCTCTGCGCTCCGCCCCGCCGGCGGCAGCGGGCAGGGGGCGGGCAGGGGAGGAGCAGGGGGCGCAGGAGGGGCAGGCAAGGGGCGGGGCACACGCAAAGGGCGCAGGGCACCCTCCTGCCCCACACCAGAGAGATGTGGCTGGAGCCCGGTGAGCCCCGCGGCGCTTCGGGACACAAGCAGAAAACAGAGCAGCATCAGTTTATTGGCCTCGTGACAGGCGACACTCTGTCCTGCCAGCGAGGGACACCTCGAGTCCCCACCCCCGCCACCCTGGGGACACCCCAACAGGCAGCAGCACTTCTCACAGTGCCTCCCAGTCCCTCCGATGCCCCAGCTCCTGTCCTCTGCTCAGCAGGGAGGAGGCGGTGCTCACTTCAGCTGGCGCAGGAAGCCCAGCAGGGCCCGGTGGAAGTCCTCAGGCTTGTCCAGGTAGCAGGCATGGCCAGCACCAGGCAGGGCGACTACATGGTGCTCAGGGAGGTGCTGGAGGTTCTGCAGGGCCTGGGGAGCCAGACCTGTGTCACGGTCACCATACAGGATCAGGGTGGGCGTCTTGGGAGAGAGAAAAAAGCAGAACGGCTGTCAGAGAGGTAAATGGCCACTGCGCTTCCTCTGGGCTGTGCCCACCTCCATCCATCACCATACAGGGCTGCAAGGCCAAGGGGAGGCAGGTGCCAGCTCCCCCATGAGCTGGGGGGCACAGGTCCCATTCACTCACCCCTAAACAGGGCCACCCTGCATATCTGCCTACAGCCAGAGGCTCACCAGCACCCAGGGGAGCCCCCCAGGAGCCCAATGGCACAGCTCACCTGGACCCGCCGGTACTGCTCAGCAGTGTAGTCCTTGGTGCCCACAGGCGCAATGGGCACAAAGCCAGAAAGCCGATCCCCCTGCTCCAGCAGGAAGGGCAGGGAAAAGCGGCCACTCATGGAGGGGCTCACAAGAACGGGCCTCCGCATGCCCAACTCCTGGAGAACACGGTCCAGGAAAGCCACTCTGCCCTGTGCCGTCACCACCGTCTCCACCGGGGGCGAATCCCCATAGCCTGGCATGGGGAAGAGGGCACAGAGTGGGCAGGGGGCATTGTGCAGCCTCCACTGTTTTCTCCCCACCAAGATTCAATGGCTTGGCAAAAAATGGGCACCTGATCAAGCCCTGGTGGCTGTACAGCCCCAGTCTCACACCAGCCTCACCACGCGATGAAGATCAACGCCGCAGGGCAGAGCCAAATCCCAGGCACACTGCCCCAGGGATCGTGTCTAGCTATCCAGAGCCCTCCCTCTAAAGAGCTCCAGGGCCCAGCTGAGGCCAGGGGCTGGAGCTGCACAGAGGGATCAACTAAACACAGTGCCATGGTCCTACCAGGCAGATCTATTGCGACTGCACGGTAGCCTTCTCCAGCGAGCAGCGCCAGCGTGCCCAAGGCCTCCCACCTCTTGGAGGTGAACGCCTGGCCATGCAGGAACAGGACATCGGGCCTGCGGGGGGGAAGACAGGCAGGAAAGGGTTCAGGGAGGATGCCATGCCTGCAGCACCCAGCGGGCTCAAGGGCTGGTGATGACAGACCCGAGGCTGGGCTGACCCACCTCCCAGGGCCGGCAGTTCCTGCGGGAACCTCCCTGTAGAAGACGGGGGGCTCTCCCGCAGCCATCCCCGTCCTCGCCGTGCCGTTGGCCGCCCGCCGGCCCCGCTGCCCCTCGTCAGGCCGGGAGCGCTGCCCGTGCCGGGCGGCCGGGAGGAGAAGGTACAGGAGGAAGGTGAGGAGCGCCCCGAGAAGCAGCAGCCCCAGGCGGCTGCGGACCAGCAGCATCTCCGCTCCGGCTGGAAAAGGAGAGCGGCAGCGCGGGGCCGCGGGCCCCCAGCCCCACTGCTGCGGGGGGCAGCAGGGCCGCTGCTCCGCTCAGCCCCGGCCCAGCCCGCGCTCCCCGCCCGGCCCGGCCCGCCCAGCGCCGCTGCGCCCACGGGCTCCGACCGGCGGCACCGCGCGGCACTGCAGGGTGCGGGCGCGGAGAGCGGGGCGCTTTGCGGCACGGCCCCGATCCAGGCACGGCTCCGACCCGGGCACGGCCCCGCTGGGTCACCGCAGAGCCCTCGGGACAGAACAGCCGGGGATCGGCTGGGCCGGCGGGGCTTGGCGGGACTTGGCGGGGCTCGGCAGGGGCTCAGCTGAGCTCGGCTGGGCTCGGCTCAGTTCGCCAAGGGTTCGGTCCGGCTCGGCAGAGCTCGGGATGGGCTCAGCTGTGCTTGGGTTGGACTCGGATGGAGCTCGGCAAAGCTCGGGTTGGGCTCGGCGTGGCTCGGTAGAGCTCGGATAGAGCTCGCTTGCACTCGGCAGGGCTCGGGTTGAGCTCGGCAAAGCTCGGGTTGGGCTCGGCAAAGCTCGGGTCGGGCTCGGCAGGGCTCGGGTCGAGCTCGGCAAAGGTCGGCTCGGCTCCGCTCGGCCCGGCCCGTCGGGGCCGCAGCCGTTCCCGGGGCCGCCCCGGACCTTGCGCTCCATGAGGCGGTGCCGCCGCTCGCCTCCTTCCCGCCCCACAGGCCTTTGGCCCCGGGGCGCGGCTCCCCCAGCCCGGTGGTTCAGCGGGGTGCAGGGAGGAGGCGAGCGGCGGCTGGCCCCGGGCACGGAGCAGCAGGTAAGGGCCAGACGGAGAAGCTGAGGCAGGGGCGGCCCCCTGAACCCGCCTGGCACATCAGCGGCCCGGCCGGTGCCCCCGCAGTGAGGGTGATGCTGATGTGACCCCCCCGTGGCCACCCGTGCCTCGACGGTGGCACAGGGCACGGCACCCCTCCCATGCCCACCACTCGCCCCACTAACAGCCCCCCGACCCCCAGGCATGGCCACCCCACGGCTCACTGAGAGCACCGTCACCGTGCAAGGACAGACCCTGTTCTACCGCCAGGCTGAGCCCGCCCAGGCGGCGCCGAGGCTGACGGTGCTGCTGCTGCACGGCATCCGCTTCTCCTCCGACACCTGGCTGCAGGTGGGGACCCTCGCCACACTGGCCGAGAACGGCTACCGAGCCGTGGCCATCGACCTGCCGGGTAAGGTGGTGATGGTGAGCACAGCTCCGGAGCCAGCTGGGGCCGATGCACCCACTGGGTTTGTGGTACCAGGATGACAACCCCAGCATCCAGCTGTGCTGGGCCAGCTTCTCCTGCTCACCGAGGCAGCGGGGAGCCTGACAGGGCCACTTGTGTTTCCCATGGCTCAGGGCTGGGGCGCTCCAAGGATGCCGTGGCCCCAGCACCCGTGGGCCAGCCAGCGCCGGCGGGATTCCTGAAGGCAGTTTCGGAGGCTCTGTGCCTGGGTCCAGCTGTGGTGATCAGCCCATCGTTAAGCGGCATGTACTCCCTGCCCTTCCTCCTAGAGCACAGCAACCTGGTCAAGGCATATGTTCCTGTGGCACCCATCTGCACCGACAAATTCACGGCAGAGCAGTATGCCCGCATCAAAGTACGGCACTAGGGGAGATCAGGGAACTGGGAGGGGATGGTGAAGAGGGGGGACCTTTGCAGTGGGGTTGAGCAGGCCAGAAACTCCAGTTGTCACTGGAAAAGGGGATCATCATGATGAAGGAATATGATGTGGGATAGCAGAAATGAAAGAGGGGATGTTAGGAGACCCAAGAGTCTGAGCCTCTTGTCCTGGAGAGGGGGGTAGAAGGGCAAGTGTCTCCCCTCTAGGATGTCCCTGTACAGAAGGAATGAGTGCCTGGATGCTTGGATCCCACTCACAGACTCCCCCTCTGCATTCCCCCTCTGCAGACCCCCACACTGATCGTGTATGGAGACCAGGACGTGGAGCTGGGGGAGACCAGCCTGAACAACCTGCGGCACCTCCCTGAGCACCAGGTGCTGATGCTGCAGGGTGCTGGACACCCCTGCTACCTGGACAAGCCCAATGAGTGGCACCGTGGGCTCCTGGCCTTCCTGCAGCAGCTGGTGTGAACAGGATGGGACCATAGGTCAGGAGAATGTGGCCAGCCCACCCATCCCTCTGCCTGCACATGCACCGTCGTGCCAGCTCAGCTGCTTGCCTGGCACCAACACCACACTGGCCCACACTACCACCGGCCCACACCACCACCCATTTCCCTTGGGACCAAATAAAACCCCAAGCTCTGCCACTGCTTTCCTGCCACCTTCATCCTGCTTCTTTCCACCCTTCTCACCTCCTTCCCCAATCCCCACCTCTGCAGCTGCTGTCCTGTGCAGGTTTGGGGGGTGATAGCAGGAAGGTACAGCCACCGAGGCATTGGTACTGTTGAGGATCGTTGCCCTGTGGATTGGAAAGTGCTGGCCTCACTGAACCCCCCCACCACCACTTCTGGCAGGACCCCCATGAGCCTCAGAGGGTGCCCAGGTAGCCCTGAGGCTGTGTTCAGGGACAGGTAGGTCCCTCAAGGTAGTGACAGCCGTGTCCTCAGCCTGCTTGCCTCCTCTTCCTCCTCCCACCCCTCCTAGCATGCACCCAAGTCCAGGGTAATCCACAGGGGCTTAAAAGGGAACCGCCAGCCCAGCGCCCCAGAGAGGTGGGGGCAGGTTTACCCAAGGAGTGGCTGCTGTGAACAGATGAGGGGGTGGGCAGGGAGGCCTGACAGACAGGGGGACAAGACCCCTGCCTGCCACCTGCCTCCTCCCGCTTTGGTGCTGCTGCACTGGGCACTTGGGGGCACAGATGGAGCCAGCAGCAGGGTGCCCCCCCAATGCCCCCCCTTCCCCAAGCCTGCCTGGGCTTTAGCTGCTTACGCCAGGGCCCAGGAGGATTTAGTGGGGGAGGTAACGGAGGGGGGGCACTTTTATGTGGGTGCAGAATGCCCGTGTGGGGGCCACAAGGCAGGGCCAAGGGTGCAGGAGCTGGTGCCTGCCCTGGTGGTACGGCAGGACCCCTGTCTGGAACATCCCTGACCCTGCACCTGCTTCAGGTCCTGTGTTACAGCACCCCATACAGGAGTGCCTCCTGTCCCACAGCCCTCCAGGCGCTCCCTCCCAGCAGCAGCCCGGGGTGCCAATGGGCCCTGGGGTGCCAGCTGCCCCATCCCTGCCCGCTCCGGTGTCCTTGAGCCCTTGAGCCCTGCCAGCTGATCAGCTTCCAGGAAAAAAACCACGCAATTACAAAGAGGGGTGATGTGTGAGCCAACGCGGGGGGGACCGGGTGGGGGGGGTGCCAGGAATGTCCCCAGCGGTGGCAGATGGCCTTACCCAGGGTGCATTGTTCCTTTTAGTGTCTCTTATCCGCTGTAATAGGATCCCGGAGGGAGGGATGTGGGAGAGGGGAAGAGCGAGGGGGGCCCCGGCGTGGACCGGGGTGGGGGCCGGGGCTGCCAGCCTGGCCCTGGCCTGTCAAGCGGCTCATTGTTCCTGCCCCGGGTGTCACTGGGCGCCGCCGGGGACAATGTGGCACTGAGCGGGGCGGCCGGCGGCGGAGGGACGAGGCGCACGGAAAGGTACCCGCCAGGCCCCGCTCCCGCGGGGACCGGGGGGCTTGGGGCGGCCGGGAGGGAGAGCGGAGAGAGCGACCCCCTGGGACGGGGTGGGGGCTTCCTCCTGTCCCCCGACACCTCCCTTTGCCACCCAGAGGTGCCCCGAAGGACGGGCGGTGCCCAGCTTCGTGGCTGCCCCAATGCCAGCCGTGGCAGGTGTCCTGTGCCCATCACCGGGGCCTTTGGCGTCCCTGCCAGCCTTGCTCACCTGGAGGAGAGCACCCCCTGCCCGCAGACCCCCCGACATAGCCTGTGGCAGTGGGGGGACACTCCGTGGCCCTGCTGCCTCCCCCGTGTCCCACTGCCAGCCTCGTCATTCTCTGCCCCGCGAGGTCTTTTGTCCCAGCTGGTCCACGCTGCCGTTCATCCCCGGGAGGACGGGGGACCCTGGCGAGCTGCTTGTCCCTGCCGGCACCGCACACAGCTCCGGATGCTGCGGGCAGGGAGTTACAGAAGGGCACATCCCACCCCCTCCACCCTGCTTCAGGCTCCCTCCATCAGGAAGGGGAATATTTCCCTTCCTCAGTCTTTTCCCCGTTTCTTCAGCCCGCAGGAACAGGCGGGTGAAGACAGGGCGTTAAACCACCCCGGGGGTGTGAGCCATAGCACTTAAGGGGAGCACAGGGGATCAACCTGCCCCGTCCCCGCCCCCCATTACCCTGATGCAGGAGATGTGCCATAGCGGTGACGAGTTCTGCCAGCACCTAAAATAGCTGACCCACCCCCCCCCGCCATGCCCGAAGACACGGCCCCAGCCCCAACACGGGTGCTTTGTTTCAAAGCCGCTTGGCATCGTCCGGCTTGCCGGGAGCCAGCGGTGCCGCAACCGCCCACCCGGCCCTGGACACACGGCGATTGTCCTCCTCCCAGGGGCCCTGCCCGCCCCCGGCCCCCAGGAACAGGGTCTGGGAGGGCCCTGGGGTGCTCTGGGGGAAAACAGGGTGCAGCAACATCGGGCATCATGCCATGGTTCATATCTGACTGGCAATCTCCATCAAGGAGCTTTGCCTCGGTTTCCCCTGGGACTTTGCGCATGGGCAGGAGGAAGGGAGGAGGAGGAAGAGGGGAGCTCCCACAGCCTGCAAGACCACCCAGGCCACCTCTGCTTCTCTCAACCCGGCAAACTGAACTCATCCCACAGCCAAGTTTCCCACATCCTTCGCCTTCCCCACATCCTGGCCATGTGCAGGACAGGCTGAAGACAGCTCTAGCAGGCACATGACAGCGGGTCCCTTTTGGGGAGTGCCAGGCAGGAGTGCAGGGTGCCTGTGGGGTACCACAGGGCCATGCAAAGCTTCCCTGCCAGAGGAGGTCACAACATTGCCCCTACCTCACTTTCCCTATTTCCCAGCCATAGGATTTTCAAGCTGCAGGTTTGGGAGCAGGGCGCTAGTTGGTGCCTGCGCCCTTTCTGAAGGCTGCCGTGTCCCATAGGCTCAGCTCGCCCTCCCGCCATGGCATCCCCGGACGGAGTCAGCGGCGTGGGCGGCAGCCCCGAGGAGACAGAGCTCAGCATCACCCTGACCCTCCGCATGCTCATGCACGGCAAGGTAATGGCAGGGGGCTCAGTGCTTCCGGGGGTCAGCAATGCCTGGGCTGAGGGGCCATGCTGGAGTTCCAGCTCCTTGCCGTGCCCTGTTTTCCTCCCCTGCTCCCAATCCTTCCTGGGAACAGCATTCCTAGAAGGATTTCTTTGCCCATCCTAAGCCAAGGAGGGGTTCCCATGCCCCAGTGTCACCAGTTAAGCCACTCACTGTCCCAGTGGCCCCAGGGCAGGGCCTGCCTGTTGCAGGTGTGCCAAGCTATGGGCAAAGGAGGGATGTGGCAAGCAGGGAGCTGCCTGCTGATGGGGCCACTCTTGTCTCTGGCTTTGCAGGAGATCGGCAGCATCATTGGCAAGGTAAGATTTGGGGTCCAGGGCACCGCCAGCCCCGGGCTCCCCTGGACCTGACACCCACCCTGTTCCTCTCCCTGCAGAAAGGAGAGACTGTTAAGAGGATACGAGAGCAGGTAAGGGCATGCTGGGGGACTGCCATGTCCTGATGCCTGTGTTGTCTGTGCTGGTGGCTCCCATGTGCCTGGGCCCCAAAACCCAAGGGGATCCAGGGGAAAAACAGTGGTACTCCAGGGAAGGCTGCCTGGGGCAGGTGGGAGGGGGAAAGCTCAGATCTGAAAGCATCAATCTTGCCCAATAAGCCTATCCCTGGGAGAAGTCATGGAGCACAGGGTCTGTGACATCCCTAACGGGGTGTGACACTGTCCCCAGAGCAGTGCACGCATCACCATCTCAGAGGGGTCCTGCCCCGAGCGCATCACCACTATCACCGGCTCCACTGACGCTGTCTTCCGAGCTGTCTCCATGATCGCCTTCAAGCTGGAGGAGGTAGGCAGCCCTCCCACACCCTGCTGGGTGCCCCCACACCTGTGGGATCCTGGGGGTCTGATGCTGAATCCCCCTTCCCTCACAGGACCTGGGAGTAGGGAGCGATGGGATGGCAGCAGGCAGAGCACCAGTGACCCTGCGCCTCGTCATCCCAGCCAGCCAGTGCGGCTCCCTCATCGGCAAGGCAGGATCTAAGATCCGGGAGATCCGGGAGGTGAGGCTGAGGATGCTCTGGATGCAGGATCCCTTTATCCCCCAGGAAGCACAGAGCCCTCAGCGTAGGAGCTGCCACAGTCCCAGCAGGGGCTGTGGGAAATGATGCAGGTGATGCAGGAACAGAGAGCATCACCCTGCCGGTCCTGCAATGGTCCCTGGGAGCTCAGGAGGGGAACAGGGGAGATGTGAGGTGCTGAGCCCTCACTGGGAGTGGCTGAGGGACACCAGCATGTCCCTTTGCTTCCCCCAGAGCACGGGGGCACAGGTGCAGGTGGCCGGCGACCTGCTGCCCAACTCCACGGAACGGGCCGTCACTGTCTCGGGGGTGCCGGACACCATCATCCAGTGTGTGAGGCAGATCTGCGCCGTCATCCTGGAGGTACCCCCAAGTCCCATGCCCAGCCCAGGGGCATGTGCTACCCATCTCCCCCTCCCCAAGGCTTCCTGTGCCCACCTGGACCCAAACACCATGGCTCCCCTGTGTAGAAGCCCATAGGAGCACCCTGCCTTCATGGTGCTGAGGGCTGTGCCCAGCTTGCTGGAGGCATGAGTGGGCAGAGGGTCCATGGGGCTCTAGGGGGCATTCAGCCTCATCTCTCATCCCCTCCACCTCCTTCCTTCTGTCTCCAGTCACCTCCGAAGGGGGCCACCATACCCTACCACCCTGGCCTCTCCCTGGGCACCATCCTGCTCTCTGCCAACCAGGTAAGAGGGCACAGCCCCCCCGGGACATGGAGCAGCTTCTGCCAGCAAGAGGCAACTCTGGTGGGCTCATGGTGGCCTCTCTGCCCTGGGGATGGGGGGCTGAGACAGTGGTCCCCACCTGGCTCCTGACAGATACCCCTTTTTTCTCCCCCCAGGGCTTCTCCATGCAGGGCCAGTACAGTGGGGTCTCTCCTGCAGAGGTGAGTCTGTCCCTGTGGCAGCTTCTGTGGGCACTGGGTCCATGCCCACCAGGACAAGTGCTGCTGCGAATTCCTATCCTGGGAGGCACTGGGTGCCAGTGTTCAGCCCCAGCAGGGGCACAGAGACTCTCTGCCATCACCACT